TTCTGGCTGTGCTGCTAGCTAATTGGAACTAAAAGTGTATCAGCTGAACCAAATCACATAAGAAATTAGCTTTTGAGAAACTATAAAGCTATAAAGTTAAGGACTTAAACAGTGCTATTAAAAAATAATGTAATGAAATTGCTCATGTCTTTATGTGCTCTGATTTGTCAGATCATTGAGTATCTGCTGTATCAGATAAGAAGTGATTCCTGTGCGCTGCTGTTTGTCCCAGATGTGGCCCGAAGGCGCCGCAAAGTCATTTTTTAATGTACAGGTGTTTGATTGAAATTGAATTCTGGTCTTTGCAGCAGTTGCCCCCTCCAGGGGATACTATTTGCTCTTTGGGCCAGCTGCTAACATCGACATAAATCACGCCTCCGCCGTCTTTTCCAATTCTGTCTCTGCTCATTTGTGTCAATAAATCGCTCGTATAAACCCTTTGCTGCCATATGCTATTTCCGTCTTTTGGAGGAGACAACACTCCGCTTAATGCATTAGCCTGTTATGCTGATTTTAGTTGTAATTCTCCCTCGGAGCAACAAGTGTGGCGGATACTTCTCCCCCGCTGCACGCTGGGATTATATCTCATTGGCAGGATACACTGAGCCCGGCTGATAATGAAAATGCTAACCAAAGTCATTTTATATTCGGAAACATCTGCCTGTGTAATAGGGCTGCTCATGAAAAAAGGATTAGACTTTGAGAGCCAGCGTGCAGTTGGTGATCCATCTCATTAAAACACACTCGTGTTTGTTTGTTTGTGTGTGTGTGTGTGTGTTGGTGTGTGTGTGTTGCCCTGTTTTTATGAATAATTAAACTAACTAGCCACTGTAACTGTCAACAGTTGGCAGGCCGGCTCCGCTGCTATTTGCATGATAGTGCTGCTGAACAAGAAAATGAAGATGAAGCTGTGTAGCCGAAAATCGCTTTGGTTTCAGCCGTTTTCATGCTTTTCTACGTATGAACGGATGCTGTCAAAGAGCCCTGAAGATAAAAAAAAACAGAGCAAGAGCCAATCCCAGCCTCCCAGATGTTGCCTAAAACATCCTTTTGCCACCAATGTTTGAAGTTGGTCGCCACTTTAATGTACAGTGGTGCTATTTATTATTAACTTTATGATGTGAGATTGGATGTTTTTCTGCAGCTTGAGAACATTTTAAGGTTGGTATCTGTCCACTTTATTCCCTCTCCTCACTTTAAAAGCTGATATTCTCTTTGTCATCAGCTTTTTTGTAAATATCACAAGTTAAAACGCTAATTTGGCTCAAAGTTTTTACTTTTATTCTTAGATTTTCTACTCCCTACAACGCTGCTACAGGTGCATCAGGCTCATGTGAGCTTTAATTTGCATACTATCGCCAGCTGAGCGCCTCCCTCCCCCTTCTCTCTCTCTCGTCCTGTCTTTGTGAATGAAGCCGCTGTGTGGTCAAAGATGAGGAAGTGTGATGTCTATCTGCACCAACAATGCACTGAACACATTTAGAATATTCAAACAAACGGCTGATCATCCCTGCAGGAATGTAATAACCGTCTGAGCTGAAGTGTATCAGTCCAGAAACAGGTTTGCATTATAGTTTAGTGCTTACAAAACAAGTCGTAAAGTTTTTTTTATGGCTGGGTTTTGCATCGATGACGCACCACCTTCTCCCACATTTTAACCTGAATATCATGAAACTTCTACTCACATTGCTTGTGATTGAATTTCTCTTTATTAAAGATTGTGGCTCTGAACAAAACTAAGGAGCGAATGCGGCCTTACCACGTCTACCACGAGAATGAAGACCCGGACATCAAGAAGATCAAAAAGGTAAATAAATCAGCAGCGTTTAAGTCATGAGATTCTTACAGTATGTGTTTGCCTGCATCTGTCCTGCTGCCACTACTGTGTCTCCACAGGTGCAGAGCTTCATGCGGGGCTGGCTCTGTCGGAGGAAGTGGAAGATTATTGTTCAGGACTACATCTGCTCTCCTCACGCTGAGAGCATGAGGAAGAGGAACCAGATCGTCTTCAATATGGTGGAGGCAGAGACAGAGTATGTAAATGTGCCCGGAGTGGAGAAAAGGTGTCACTGTTGTTAGCCGTACATGATGCTGTCTCGCTCACCGTGGCTCCGGAAAAGATGCTCTTCAAGTTGTTTTTTTTTTAGCACGATACAGTCGATACGAAAATACAGATTGTGCAACCGTTTGTGTTACATAAAGCAGACGGTTATGTGAGAGGATTCCAGACAGTTTTGCAAATTCTGCATTTATTAAAACGTCGGATTTGCAGGATTTTTTATTTTTTTTTACAGCAATTGTGATGAAGTGCCTCAATTTGTCTGCTGTGTTCATGTAATTTAATTTTTATTGGATTTAATTAAACTAAACTGAATCACAGTCAGATTAACAGACCCCGAGTGGAGGAGAAAAAAACAAAACAAACACCCACTCTAATTCAGATAAACCTGCTGGTTTTTTATTTCTGGACCAACTTCAGCTGTCATGAATAAAAATGAGCTATAGAGCGGAAGGTTTAAAATACATCTTTAGTTAAAACGATGGTAATTGAGAGCTGAGGACACATTTGATCAGGTGTTACGTGGCGGTAAAGTGGTGACAGTGTCAGGTTACACAGAAGATTTTCTCTCCTGCACAGGGTTATGACATTTATTTCAAGTGGTAAAACAAAATGAACTAAAATGATCCGGGAAGGATGTTCAGAACATGTTAGTGATGTGTGTTCACAGTTTATTGTACTAAATTAGAACAATAAAACCTTCAGGAAATAGTGTCATCTAACTGTAAGACAGCATATATTGCATCATGATAAAAACTAGTATTACATTTAACACCAGTACTGTCTTCATGGAATATATTTGATTAAATATGGTGGGTGCCGCTGTAGCTCACCCGGTTGAGCTGGTGTCCCATGTATAGGGGCTATAGTCCCTGAGTTCGAATCCCGCTCATGGCCCTTTTCCGCAGGTCCTTCCCCCAGTCTTCTCCCCCACTTTCCTGTCTCTCTCTCAACTTCACTGTCATATAAAGGCCAAAAATAAACTGTTAGTACAGGTAGTGCAGTATGACTGTTTGTCTCTGTGTGATGACAGGTACGTCCACCAGCTCTACATCCTGGTCAACTGCTTCCTCAGACCTCTGAGGATGGCTGCCAGCTCCAAGAAACCCCCAATCAGCCACGACGACGTCAGCAGCATCTTCCTCAACAGGTGTGTATACATACAAATGTGTGTCATTATTCAAACATTTTGGTCCTCCTTTGATTTCTTTGATTGGAGGCCCCAGCAGAGATAAAAACAAATACTAAAAATGTTCCCACACTGTGTTTCCTGTGTGTCTTCAGCGAGACCATCATGTTCCTACATGAGATTTTCCATCAAGGCTTGAAGGCGAGGATCGCCAACTGGCCAACTCTGGTGCTGGGTAAGCTGTGACTTGACCTCACACTATGCGTGAAACACACAAATACACACACACACACACACACACACACACACACACACACTCTCTCTCTCTGCAGCCACCCAGTTACATCAAGGTCAGGTTTTCAGTGGTTTCCGTATCTAGTTTGTCTCATTCAGACGTCAGCTTTGACGTCTTACTGCCCTATTCACACACACACACACACACACACACACACACATTATCCTATCTCAGTCTGCAACAAGCGCGCTCATTGTCTTGACAGACAATGACCGCCCGGACCAGAAGGCATCCCATCATTTCACCTCCTAAAACAAACCCCCTCCTCGACAGATAAGCATCACCTAGGAGACAGACCGCTGAAAGACGTGGCAGCAAATTACTTGTGACAAACTCAAAAAGAAAAGGGGTCTGCTGATTAAATGTACCGCCTTTATCTGACTCTTTTCTGCAGGCTGTGGCTGAACGTAGACTTTTGATCAACAATATGTTTTATATCAAACAAGCTGCTGTTGTGTTTCACAGCTGGTTCTTTGTTTTACTGTCATTACGTTTATGAAAATACAACACAGTGTCCTGTTAACCTGCACAGACGCTGCACAGACGGCTATAGGTATCAATTTGTTTGAATTTTTGTGGAAACCAGGTTTTGCTTTTCCTTGCGTGATAATATTTCTTTCGTTCTTTTAACCCTCTGAACCCCAGAGGTGGTTCATTTTTACTCACTGTGAGCAGATTTTTCACTGCAACATAAAACTCTGCAGCTCTATAGAAACCACAGCAAGAACTAGAGAGCAGGTTATAATGCCATAGGTGAATTTCTTTGAATCTTTATTTTATAAAAAAAGAGAAACAAAAACAGTGCAGTTCAGCCAAAAAGTCACAGAATGTGAGTCACGACTGTCGGTGAACGCTGAGTCATCGCTGACTTCAGTTGGGAGCACAGACTTTTACAGGATCTGGATCATGTAGACACCTTATTTTTTGACAATATTTTACAATTTTAAATTTAAATTAGTTTATTTTGACCACTGCATGCAGTTTATGAGTAGTTTAGTGACTGTCAAAAAGTTGAAAACCTGACTATTCGTTATGTTTTTACCGTTTGTGGCTGATAAACGGTGTTACGGTTTCTAACAAAATTACATCCTTTAGGGTTTTTTTGGGGTTCAGAAGGTTTAGAACATGAATACAATGACACATAAAATTTTTTACTTTGGGTTACATCAATCATAGAGATTGAAAATCTTCTCCTCGTGGTCCACTGGTCATTTGCACGGGACCAAAAAACAGTCGACATGATCAATAAAGAAAATCACCAGAGAAACTCCCAGGAGGACGTCATGTTTTCTGAATTGGTTTATTCAGTGTCTGTCACTTACATCATCTTCCGTAACCTCCTTTCTTTGTAATTTGACTATTTTTGAGCTGACATGACATTAGAAAACTTTTTTACCTTCGTCTTGCTGCCTCTATACAGTGAGCTCAGCCCTCTTAAAGACATTATTTGGCCTTTAAGGTTTACATTTGGACCAACTATCAAATTGTGCAACAGCAATGCACGACGATACCACGTTCAAGAATTAGATCAAAGGTCTAAAAATGAAACGCCAACTAACCCAGAAAGCTCCACCGGTGAAAGATCAACACTAAGTCCCCACAGGAGGTAATTAACCCGGTAAACATGCACACAGAGTGCACAAGAGGAAGGATGCTGCATTAGCAACACATTGTGCAGCTGGCTCGGTTTGCACTGAACTGGTCGCACAACAACTGAATTTTACTAATAAATCATCATAAAGCAGCTTTAATTAAAAAAAAACAAAAAACAAAACAGAAGCAGCAGATTATATTCCAGCAAAAACACTTGGGAAAGAGATGAAAGATGATTGTCAGCATCAACAACAGCTAAACTGTAGCCATGGCGACGGCAGCGGTCGCTACTAGTTACAGATATTTTCACTGGAACCCGCTGCTGCATGTTGGATCCTCGTGTGACTTACATACTCTACATATGTATGTGTTTCCGTCTGCAGCCGACCTGTTCGACATCCTGCTGCCCATGTTGAACATCTACCAGGAGTTTGTGCGTAACCACCAGTACAGCCTGCAGGTTTTGGCCAACTGCAAGCAGAACAGAGACTTTGACAAGCTGCTGAAACAGTACGAGTCCAACGCCGCCTGCGAGGGAAGGATGCTCGAGACCTTCCTCACGTACCCGATGTTCCAGGTGGTTCAACTGTCACCCCGCTGCAGTCTGTGTTCACATATTGCTGCCAGGTACATTTATTTTAACGAACTGTTTATCTTTTCTCCGACAAGATTCCTCGTTACATCATCACCTTACATGAACTACTGGCCCACACACCTCATGAGCACGTGGAACGCAAGAGTCTTGAATTCGCCAAGTCCAAATTAGAGGAGCTGTCCAGGTACGTGTCACAACGGTCAGCTTTGTTGATGCATCTCAGCGCCGAGCTAACTCGTGTGTTTCTGTTCAGAGTAATGCACGACGAGGTGAGCGACACAGAAAACATTCGGAAGAACCTGGCCATAGAGAGGATGATAGTGGAGGGCTGCGACATCCTGCTGGACACCAGCCAGACCTTCGTCAGGCAGGGTGAGTCCTCATCAGGGCGCAGCGGATCTCGGCTACAATCAAACCTCTGGAGGTCCACTGGACAGTCAGCTGCCTGCTGACTCGTGATCGGTGGTGGAGCAGTTCACCGAATCGTGACATTAGCGACAGTAAAACTTTCTACAAGGGGAAGGATTGGCTTCCTCGGCTTTCCCAGTTAAAATGTGACTCTAAGGGCCTCAACTGGTTGAGCTGGCGACCCATGTACTGGGGCTATAGTCCCCGACGCTGTGGTCGTGGGTTCAAATCCAGCCCATGGCCTTTTGCTGCAGGTTCCTCCCCCATTCTTCTCCCCACTTTCCTGTCTCTCTCTCTCTCTACTGTCCTGTCAAATAAAGGCCAAAAAAATAAGTGACTCTAAAAAGCTATCAATAAAAAAGGGGAAAAAATGACATATTAGCAAAAAAAAGTCTCAATGAATTACTTCCTACATAAAAAAACTCACCTTCATTCTGCTGTTTCCACATTAAACTCTCTTTTAGCTCTACAAGTTCTCACGTCTTCATGGTGTGAATAAACATTTCACCTGTGATCGTGGCTGTATTCTTATTGTCACGATGCCAGACAATAAATCTGAACAAAAGAAGTCCGTTTTCATCACTTCTGTCTAAAACGTGCTGCATAAACTCTACTTCATTTGTTGTCTCTGGCTTCGAGCCATAATTATTGATTCCATATCTCGTTGCGTTGCTAAATCTTGTTCCTTAGAAACACACTGAATCCACATCAGCGCTGAGGCATTCTATAATTATTAGAGTGTGCATAAATCTAATAAGAGCAGCTTTCTCCTGTTTCATATTAATCTGATTTATCAAACATGGCCAGACATAAAATCAGATTCCATTTCCCTCTTAAATGTTATTAAGTGATGATATCTGCCAGTGAGTTAAACAAATGGCACGATGCCATCCAGGAGAGCAGACTGTGATGAAGTCCCTGTAGCTGTAGCTGAGTGACTGTACAGCAGTGTGTTGACAGCGTGGGACTTCTGCCCATCCAAGGTCCTGTCTGTTTCTGAATCCATAAGGAAAAGACGCTAACCCTGCTAACTTTAATGATTTCATAATTTCTACTCTCATTGCTCCACGAGGTAAACACACCAAGAGCATGTGTGGGGAAACTTTTGACAGACACATGTTTGCCTCCCTGTGAACGTCCAGTAAACACAGCTTAGTGTCAGCCTAATGAAATGAAATGTCGTCCCTCCACAGGCTCTCTGATCCAGCTGCCATCGGTGGAGCGAGGGAAGCTCAGTAAGGTCCGTCTGGGCTCGCTGTCTCTGAAGAAGGAAGGCGAAAGACAGTGTTTTCTCTTCACCAAACACTTCCTTGTCTGCACACGCAGCTCTGGGGGGAAGCTACACCTGCTAAAGGTGAGAACACTGTTACCTGTGTGCTGTGTACCTCACTGAAGAAACTCCTTCTGGAAATCGACAGCACCTCTTATCCATGCCTGCTTTCTCTTGCAGCAAGGTGGAGTTCTGTCCCTAATTGACTGCACGCTGATCGAGGAACCAGATGCCAATGACGAGGAATGTAAGTTTACTGCCTCCATGACGTAGCGTGCTCACATTGTTGACCATAGACTGTATAAAAGATGGACGCAGCAACCTGAAAAATGAAGCCAACCAGGAAGTGTCAAAAACCTGCAATATCACTACGTCCGCTAGCTGCTGGCTCCAAAAAGCCCTGGATCACAAAATACTGCATTCCTACAGCTCAGGATTTTTATCTTATTAGTTTTCATGGTCAAGTCCAGAGATCAGGTGGCCAATCTGAAAATAAATCAATACTGAATTTTTAAAAAATCGTCAACATTTTGCGGGGCAAGGGGCATGGCTGGCTTGATTGACAGTCGGCAGCGACGATGCAGACGAAGCGAGCAGAAGGCGGTAAATGTGGGCGGGGCAGAGAGGGCCCGCCTCTCAATCCGTCTGACCAATCGCTGCTCCTATGGCTCCGCCCCCCTCCGACGATTTTTGCGTCACTGGCTCCAAAAATCCAAGATGTCAACCAGGAAGTAGCAAAACCCTGGCTTCATTTTCTCAGTGCAGAAACCAACATCACGGTAGCTACGTCCATCTTTTATACAGTCTATGGTTGTCGACACACGGACGCCTCTTATTGGCTCATTTAGGCTCTTCACCACTCATGGAGGTTAATTAGGTGTCAGGCGATAAGAGTCCCGGAAATTACTTCCCTTTAAATATCAGATGCTCACCCCTTTAAATGTCAGGGTTTGATCTTTTAACATTACAGGGCCATTATTTTTTTTTTCAACAAGAATTCTTTTTGCAAAGAGGCAGCCTGATGAAACATCTACACAAACACGAGACGCACACCTGCCTTCACTTTTACACTTAAGCCTCAGGGGGTGCACAGAGGGAAGATAGCAGGTCTGCCTAATTAACCCTCTGTGTGTGCATGTGTGTGTGTGTTATGTTTTTGTCATTAAATGGTCTGTTGTGCTGTAAAAAATCTTTTTCTCCTCTATCTCACAGCTAAGGCCGGAGGTCAGGTTTTCGGTCAGCTGGACTTTAAGCTGGTGGTGGAGCCGACAGACTCGCCTTCGTTTACCGTGGTGTTGCTGGCGCCGTCGCGGCAGGAGAAGGCTGCGTGGACCAGCGATATTAGCCAGGTAATACACAAATCGCACAAACGCACACCCAGACAAACACAGAATAACAAGAACCTCCAAATAGCGAGAGCGTGTCTCCGCTGGGCATTGAGAAGGCTTAGTGATAAGTAAACACAGACTGTGGTGCAGCTCCCCAGGGCCGAGTTCAGCTCACCGCCTCAGTACTTCACAAACAGCACACACACACACACACACACACACACACACACACACACACACACACACACACACACACACACACACCGTACAAGCATGTCACACTGAATTAACTCTTGTCAGACAGAAAAATACACTGACAGTTTTAAGTGGCTTCTTTTTCATATCAACAAGACTTCTGGAACTGTTTGGAAGCAGTTTTGTTTTGAATCATAATTTTATAATGTCACATGCTCCACCAATACTTTGGATAATTAGCGTCCGAGCACCCAGAAGGGTGAGAAGACCCCATTGGAATAGCTAGGGTTTTTTATTATTATTAGTCATGACAAAGAGATGCGTTTTTGAGGTCTTAAACGTACTCGCACGTGCACAAAACTTGGCACAAAACTTTTATAATTAGGGGGAAATAAACACCTCAATAGAAAAATGGCTCAACAGCACCACCTAGAAAATTGCGAAAAAAACCCGCCCCCGATCACACTTTCATGTAGAGCCACGAAATTCGCCACACACACGTAACATCCCGAGACGCACAAAAAAGTCTCAAGAACACATACCTGAAACTCAACAGGAAGTCGGCCATTTTGAAAAAAATTTTGGCCAAAAAACTGGCATTTTCAAAATCTATCTCCTCCTAGGGGTTATGTCGTACACACCTGAAATTTGGCCAGCACAAGATACAGGACGTGGTGATTAAAAGTTATTAAACCGCTTCGCAAAAGTCTGACGGTGTGGAAATGGCGGCCCGTGCAATTTGGACCTGTGGCCATTTTACGCATTTTCGCGGTGTTTCCGGCATTCAACGGAGTCCTGTCGGAAGGCCGTTTCACCTACAGATACGCAATTCGCTGGGCATGTGCAGCAGGTCGGGACACACAAAAAATTCAATCAGCTCCAAGCCCTAAACCTAACAGGAAGTCCGCCATTTTGAAAAAAACATGGTCAGAACTTTGATTTTCGCTCATTTTTGGCCATTTTCAAAATCTATCTCCTCCTAGGGGGAACGTTGTACACACCTGAAATTTGGCCAGCACAAACTGCAGGACATGGAGATTAAAAGCTATTAAAACGCTCCACAAAAGTCTGACGGCGTCAAAATGGTGGCCTGTAGAATTTTGCCAAAACATCATAACGCGCCATAAAATGCAGTGTAACTGGCCTGTACGCGCTCCGATCTTCCTGAAACGTGTGCTCCGAGTCCCAGCCAGCACGCCACGCCACGCCACGCCACGCGCTCCGCCTCGGCTCGCCATTAAACAGGAAGTGGTGGGCTCACAACACCGCTTGGGGGCGCGGCCACAACCATACGCATTCGCCACGAAACAGGAAGTGAAGTGTAAATAGCCTGCAAATGCTCAAAGTTCCCACGTTTCATCTCAGTAGGAGCCACATTACATACATATGCACACAGTCTCATGTTCTTCAATCCTCTCATGGCCTGTCTCCCGTCTCCGTCTCTGCAGTGCATCGATAATATCCGCTGTAATGGCTTGATGACCAGCGTGTTTGAGGAAAACTCTAAAGTCACCGTGCCTCACATGATCAAGTAAGTGTCTTTGTTTGTGCAGAGAGGAACCCTCATCCCTTCATGCCACGCACGTGTTGCAAACCTTAATTTGGTAGCACATCTGGGTGAAGATATTACAGTTGTGTTGATTTATAGTCAACTGTTACGTATTACGGCTTTTTTTCTTTTGATTTATGCCTTCTGTGCTTGACGGTATTCTCTTGTTTTTATCCTCCTCCTTTGAAATACGTTGGTGGTGTATTTATTAATTTCTGTTTTGGCTCAGCTACTTTCACGACCTTTTTTTCCTTGCTTAGCGGCCCAACAGTCACCCATGCTCGGTTGTGTGTTTGTGTATGTGTGTGCTCGTGTATCCATCAGATCCGATGTGCGTCTCCATAAAGATGATGTTGACATTTGCTTCAGCAAGACGCTCAACTCCTGCAAGGTCCCCCAGATCCGTTACGCCAGCGTGGAGCGGCTGCTGGAGAGGCTGACCGACCTGCGCTTCCTCTCCATAGACTTCCTCAACACCTTCCTGCACACATACAGGATCTTCACCGCAGCCACCGTGGTCATGGACAAACTGGCCGACATCTACAAGAAGCCCTTCTCCTCCATACCGATCAGGTCCTACCGATCACGCATGCACTCACAAACACAGAAAAAAGTACCAGACAGAAATCTCACACACACACACACACACACACACAGAGTTAAATGGCACCTCATAAATCTGCAGAAAACACTGGTTTGGTTCATATTTTTTTACCAACATTTGTATATTTATTCGTGCCTGTTTTGTGTGTGTCGGTCCGGTTGGTGGATGAGTTTTATTAGCTTCCCCCCCTCTGTTTTGTTTTTAAAATCTGTGAATGATGTTGTCAAAGTTGTGGGTCAGTGTTTTGGACTCTGCGAGCAGCTTCCACCTCTGTCCACAAGGGTAAACACACACCGACTGAAATACATACCAGCCTGTGTTCGGAGGCCAACAGCACAGATGCTTCAACAAAGTTTTTGGCACAGTTGTAGGAATATACTATGTGTTAGATGAGGCGTCTCTCTCTTTCTCTCTCTCTCATATTAGGTGCTTGGCTCCATCAGAACTGTGTGTTTGTATTCCTTCCACAGCTTCACTCAACTTAGCTTTTTAACAGGAAAAGCTTTTCCTGGTACCTCTGCCCAAGGGCAAATTGGCATGTAAAGCCCAACTCACCTCGGCTTGTGGCTGGCTTCACTGGAGGAAGCGTCCGGGGATCAGAGGTGTGCAGGAAGGGTAGCGGGAGTCTGCGTTCTGACATCTTTACTTTGATTTTTGTCTCCTTCGTTCTCCAGAGAGACGGTACAAAAAGCAGCTTATAAAGAGGACATCAGTTACTGTATGACAATGGCTTCTTTAATATATGGGTGCTTTTAGCCATTGCTAGTGATGCACCAGAATTTTAATTTATTGAACAGATATCCCCTTGAGATGCAGCATCTCACTTTCAAAAGAGTCCTGTTTTTTAGGTTATTGAATTTTTGTTATTCCTGGTCTTGACTGAAACAACTATCAGATGGATTGAAAATTCATACCTCCCAAAGGATGACTTGTGATGGCACAAGTTATTCCTTAACTTTCCATTTCATTCCATCATCAGGTCAAGTATTGATTTTGTCCGACACTTTTATTCATGAACAAATACCTGCAAAACTACTGACTGTCGGAGCTGAATCTACCAGAAATTAAACTATGTGTGAGATAGCTCCATTCGTTTTATGAAGCAATAGGAGAAGACATTTAGGTCTCACTCCATGTATTTATTTATCAGATAGTTGAATAAACATACGGAGCTCTGGATCAAACTTCTCACCCGAGCACCAACAACGTTAACGTCAGGACACCAAGTCTGACTGCTTCTCCCTGATCCAGTGTACTTGTACTATTACATGTGCACAGAATGTGTTGCAGCTAGCTGATTGGCTCCTCCGTGTCCTTGGACCTTCTTCCACCATCTCGTAGGTGCAGAAACTCGCCACTCAGCACCCAACTGTTGAGCACCTTCAGTTCCTCCCTCCTGCAGATACCTGCTTGTGACAGAGAAATATTCACAAACCACCAAGTCCTGTCTCCACTTACGCTTTTTCACGTTGTAGTTGTTTATAAGTTATGTTGATTATGCCTTAAGATGATAATAAAAGATTAAGATAATAATAAGAGGTTGAAATAATAGTAAGATATTATCAAAACATGAATATAAACTATATGATCCTAACATAACTTTCCATCAAACTCAGCTTTTACTTCATCTTTAGCTCTACAAATGCCTCATGAGCTTCAGTTGAAGGCCATTGGACTCCTTTTATTTGGGTTGTTGAAGACATTTCACCAATCATCCAAGAGGCTTCATCAAATCTAACCAACTGATCAGGAGTCACAAATACATTTTGTCACCTCAAGCTCACATGGATAAACTACCAAAGACTTACAAACCTCAAGGCGTAAATGGTTGTGAAACTGCCAAGCGAAGGTTGACTCATCATGTTAATGGTGGAGAACTTAATGCTGCATTATAAGCACCTGATGAATAGTGTTGTGAACCCCCTCCTCTGTTTGGACATGGCTGTTTAACATAGGGAGGGTTATGACATCACTTATCAGGCACTTATAATGAAGTATTTAGATTACCTTGAACATCTGAAATGGACCCAAAGTGGACTTCTTTTGATTCAATGGAGAGGAGTAACTTCTAAAGAGTTATTTTATTCTTGCTTTATTTGTTGTAACATTAAAAATATTGTGTTGGTTTATGATTCATTTACTTTGTGTGGCTTATACATACTTATACCACAGACAGGGGTTGTGTGAGAACATTAGCTCTTTGTGGGGCTTAAAACTAACTTGGTTAAACCCCTACAAATGTCACCACAGTGGACATGCATATTGACTCATCTCTCACCTGGCTGTTTCAGAACCACTCACACCTTGAGGTTTGTGAGTCTTGGGTAGCCGCTGGACGTTTAGCCATGTGAGCTGGGAGTGACGATAAATAGTTATCATAAGGACCAGAAACGAGAACCACTAAAGCTCTGATGACTAATTAACAAGCGTGCTAACATGTTAAATTGAGCTGGTAACATGCAGATTTAGCTCAACACGCTGCTGTGACTGACATCTTGTTTCAGCCTTGTGTTTTGTTTCGTGGCTATTTTGCAATTTCATGCAAATATCTCTCATAATTCATGCACTTCATCATTTCCATGGCTTTCAGTTGACAATTCTTGTCAAAGACTGTCGTTTCCACTTTTTCACAAATGGTGACGCTAGAATAAAAATGCCCTCTTTGGCTGGGTCACATAGTTTTTTCTGTTTTGCCAGATTAGAAAGGTGATGCCCCCCATTTCATTTCTGCATATGTCTCCATGGACACACACATGCATGAACATAGCAGACAGACAGAAACTCAGCTTTCTGTTCTTGTTTCATGCTGGATTTTCCTCCCACATGGTCGCGCGTCGACATCTGGTAGACTGAACATATGCTGCTTCAGACACATTCTCCCTTTTTCCCTCAAACACACCTTTGTTTTTCCTCAGAGGTTCATCTATCATCCCTCCATCATCCTCCCTCAGACCGACCTTTTATCTCTGTTACATCTCTTACTCGCGCTGTCACGTCTAAATCCAGTCGTCACAGCCATCCATTTAATCATTTTTTTGTGTCATCCATCTCCCTTTGTCTCTTCATATCCTCCCTCCGACTACAGGGCGCAGTACCACTCATTTGACCGTCTGTCCATCTCATCCATCTGTCCTGACTACAGTCTGAAGATCAAGAAGATAGCCATGGATCAGTCCAAGTAACCGACTCTTCTCTTCTCTCTCTGCCTTCCTTTCTTACTGTCTCTATCCTACTTTTCCTGCCTGTTCTTCTTCTCTTCTGGTCTTGATCCGACACTAAACTGAAGCATGACTTTCCCGTTTACTCTGCCTGAACAACTCAGAGGGCTTGGATGAAGCATTTCAGATTGATGATGTGTAGACAGGAATGTCTTGAATCTGCAGCTGATCTGTAGCATGTTTTGTCACCGGAGCATCGGTTCCTCGAGGCTGTTTCTTCCTCTCCGTTACCACATCGATCCTTTTTTTTTTTGTTGTTACTCGGCTTTACATCTGAAGCATCTTCCTGCCGCCTGCATCCTCTTTTCTTGCTGCTTGCTTCAAAGTTCTCCACTGGTTTTCATGTGTATTTCCCTCCTCTATCCGCCTTTATTTCCTCCTCCGTCTATCTGGGATGCAGTTTGCTCCTCGACTGAATCAGAGACTTGTGTGTGAATAAATGATGGCTGTGTTTATCTATGCATGATTACTCTCCTCTCGCTCTGTACACACTGGCTCTCGGAGTTAATGTCGTCGCCAAATTGATAACCGAAATGCTTGTTGATTAAAGCTTTTACACTCCCATTGCCTGGTAAATAAGGCATTTAACTGTTAGAACTGTAACCGGCGACAAAAGATCGATGTTTATTTATTTCTGTGCTTGTCTGTGACGTGGGTGCATTTGTGTTGATGTTCCTGTTTTTGACAATAAAATTATAGGAGCAACTTTGAGCTTTGAGGGTCTTTAAAGGTTTTAGATATCCCTCGATTTAAAGACCGGGCAGTGGGATGATGACTCTAAACATGACAGAAGAGAGCCAAACAGCAAAATATACATATAACCGGCCAAGTCAGTCCCATTACCTCCATCAAACTAGGCACAAAAACCAGCTAATATAAACAGTTCCTCTTTCCACGTCCAGCAGAGATGATTCATTCGGTGTCGTGTTTTCTTAACTTGTTGATTACGAGTGTAATATTTACTCTCTGTTTCTGCCACCACCGAGCGAGAGAAATATCAGCCTCCTTAGCTAATACATTTTACAGCTTGTCCATCAGCTAGACTCCAACTTTGCCAAGCCAAGGCCAGAGCCAGGGCTGGCCAGGATAGCGTACAGTGGGTTTAATAGAGCGTCTTCATTTAAAAAAAAAAAGCAGCTGCCCGATACTAACACCCACGAGAGCAGTGCGACTGAATCCAAACAGTAAAGTTTCAGGCCGTAAAACTAAAACAGATGCCTGATAGTTGTCATAAAGCTTCATTAAGCTAAGTGGAGCAGCATTTCTCGTCATGATTCTCTGTGGTTTTGTAATAATTAGAGCAGCTTTACGTTCACATCGAGCTGCTGAAGAACCGTTTACACAAACGTACGAAATCCTGACACGCGTGTGAACGTCCTGGAATTAAAACCGACAGTCACCGGGGAAACCTCAGAGAGATGTTGTTTTATTTCCAGCTCCGTGTGCTCCAGTATCACGACGAAAAACTGTGTCACTGTTCTAATACCTTCTGACTGCGCTGCATGTGCCCACTCATTTTAAGTCACTCTGAATAACTACAATAGCTAAACACCCCAAATTCAGCTCTGAAAGCCTCGAGCTCCCACAGTACTCGGTGAAATCCTAATTTCTTTCCCATCTTGGTGATGTTATTGTATTCTCAGCCCAAATTAGGCATTTATCTCCAACACAGGAAATCTACCTGACAAAACCCATTTTCTAATGAAGCTTTTATGGTTTGGGGGATAGAGACAAGCCAGCTCTTTATGTGTTTCTTTTTCATTCTTCTCTCCTTTTCCCTGAACTCTTTTTTTTTTATTGCTTTTTTAATATCCTATTATTTTACTAACATATTGCTTTCTTTCCCCTCCTTCAGGTCCTTGGAGTTGTTTTTTGCCACCAATCAAAACAACCGAAGTGGCGAGCACACAAACGACAGATCTCCTCGTCTCTGCCGCAAGTTCTCCTCTCCTCCCCCTCTGTCCATCTCGTCCCGCACCTCCTCCCCGGTCCGAGCCCGGAAGCTGTCCCTCCACTCCCCCATCACGGCCAGGGTGGGAGGCCTGGACCTCACCAGCCCTCTGTCCAACTCCAACCACAACACGTCCCAGTCGGCCGCCAGCAGCCCCACATCAGCCCAAACCCCCCAGACTCCCACGCCTCAGACCCCGACCCCGACCACCTCCTCTCCTCCCCCTCCACCCTCCTCCACCTCCCCTCCGCCCAACAACTCCAAGCCGCCGCTGGACCAAGTTCCTCCCATTCCCTCGTCCCCCGACCAGAGTCCCTGCCAGACCGCGGAGGGGGACGAGGTGCCCAGGATCGACCCCTTCTGTGGGAAGCTGCGACGGAGCATCCGCAGAGGTACGTTGAAGTTTCTGCAAAAAAAAACATTTATACTTAATAGAGAATTAGGGTTTTCTTGAAATGCAGCAACAGGACTCTGGCAAAATAAT